CATGGCCCGGGGTCATCGTGGAGCAGGGTCAGGGGCCCAGCAAGCTGTTTGTGAGCACCGCCGTGGACGGCAAGTCTGAGTACTTCCCCACCCTGAGCTCCCGCAAGCTCATCAGTGACGAGGACAGTGCCGACATGTTTAGTCTGGTGGGTGAGCCTGCCTGTCTGTTTACCCTCCTCCCCTCGCCTCTCCTCCTGCCCCTCGAGAGCCAGCACCTGTGTCCCTCCTGCCTTCACTCCGTCCTGGCTCCACCTCCGGGAGAGCCCAGGTCCTAGAGGGGACAAGCTCCCAAAGATAGAAGGATGGGCTGAGGCACAGGATGGGGCTGCTCTGGGCTCCTGTGACTGTGTGTTTGGGGGGGGCGGGGGGAGGTCATGAGGGAAGCCCTGGGGGAACCATGTTTAGGGGCTGAGAGGCCAGAGTTTGGGAGGTAGGTGACAGAGCCAGGTCTCACCCCATGCTCTCTCCTCGACCTGCTCTCCAGGTGTACCAGGATGAGTTTGTCTCCTCGCAGATCAAGATCCCCTCGGACACCCTGTCCTTGTACCCCGCCTTTGACATCTATTACATCTACGGCTTCGTGAGCGCCTCCTTCGTGTACTTCCTGACGCTGCAGCTGGACACCCAGCAGACGCTGCTGGACACAGCGGGCGAGAAATTCTTCACGTCCAAGATCGTGCGCATGTGCGCCGGGGACTCGGAGTTCTACTCCTACGTGGAGTTTCCCATCGGCTGCTCCTGGCGCGGCGTGGAGTACCGCTTGGTGCAGAGTGCGCACCTGGCCAAGCCCGGCCTGCTGCTGGCCCAGGCCCTGGGTGTGCCGGCTGACGAGGACGTCCTCTTCACCATCTTCTCACAGGGCCAGAAGAACCGGGCCAGCCCGCCCCGGCAGACCGTGCTCTGCCTCTTCACCCTCAGCACCATCAATGCTCACATCCGGCGCCGCATCCAGTCATGCTATCGGGGGGAGGGCACCCTGGCCCTGCCCTGGCTGCTCAACAAGGAGCTGCCCTGCATCAACACTGTGAGCACAGCGGGCTTCAGCCCTGGCACATCTGCTTCTCACTCTCAGGGACGCTTGTCCTCTCTCGTTCTCTCCCTGCATCTGCTGCTCCTCCTCCTCCCCTTGCCTGCCTTCTCACCAGCTCTCTTGGCGGCCACTCTATACTTGTGGACCACGCCTCCCTTTTCCTGCCCCTCCACCCATCCCCAGTTTGCTGCTTCTTGCTCCATCTCCTGGGTGTCCCTCACTGAGTTAGTGACAGTCTGCCAGCCTGTCCCATCTCTTTTTTATATATACACTAGAGGCCCAGTGCACCCTCTCCAATCTGGGACCCCTGGGGGGATGTCCCACAGGGATCGGGCCTAAACTGGCAGTCGGACATCCCTCTCACAATCCGGGACTGCTGGCTCCCAACCGCTCGCCTGCCTGCCTGCCTGATTGCCCCTAACCACTCCCCTGCCAGCCCGATTGACGCCCAACTGCTCCCCTGCAGGCCCGATCACCCCCAACTGCCCTCCCCTTCCAGCCTGGTCACCCCTAACTACCCTCCCCTGCAGGCCTGGTCGCCCCTAACTGCCCTCCTCTGCTGGCCTGATTGCCCATTACTGCCCTCCCCTGCAGGCCTGGTTCCCCCCAACTGCCCTCCCCTGCAGGCCTGGTTCCCCCCAACTGCCCTCCCCTGCAGGCCTAGTCACCCCCAACTGCCCTCCCCTGCAGTCAATTAAGCATATTCCCTCTTTATTGGCTGTGGGCGCCGCCAACTTTGCAATGGCATAAGGGTCAATTAGCATATTCCGTCTTTATTAGATAGGATTTTTATTGATTTCAGAGAGGAAGGGAGAGGGAGAGACAGACAGAAACATCAATGTTGAGAGAGAATCATTGATCAGCTGCCTCCTGTATACCCTACCTTAGGGATCAAGCCTGCAACCCTGGGCACATGTCCTAACTGGGAATTGAACCATGACTTCCTGGTTCATAGGTCAACCACTTGCAGGCCCAGGCCTCGCTCTCCTTTTCTGCTCCTGCATCCTCTCCCTCCACCATCCGTCTCCCTCCTCCATCTCCTTCCTGCATCCACCTCCTCGGTCCCCAATTTCCTATGGGGTGCAGGGCAAAGGGTTAGTCTTAGCTGGTGGGGAACAACTTGCAGATCCTGCTCCCTTCCCTAATGTGGGGTCTTGTGGCCTCTGTCCAGTTGCTGCCCCCCAAGCTTCAACTCTCACATGCATTCCTGCTGTTTCCCCAGCCCATGCAGATAAATGGGAACTTCTGCGGGCTGGTGTTGAACCAGCCGCTGGGCGGCCTGCACGTGATCGAGGGGCTGCCCCTGCTGGCGGACAGCACTGATGGCATGGCTAGTGTGGCCGCCTACACCTACCACCAGCACTCCGTGGTCTTCATCGGCACACGCAGCGGCAGTCTGAAGAAGGTACGCCCTGGCCCCCTTGGCATGTAGACATGGGGGCAGACTGAGATACGGGATGAGGGGTAGGGACAAGAATGTGCGGACGAGCCCTGTGAGACCCTGAACAGTACAACAGCCCGTAGGGGAAGGGGGACTTCCCAGGCTGGGCCCCAGGAGCCTGGCCAGGATCCATGGGCAGCCCCCACAGCCATCCACCCCTACCAGCACCCATGCTCACTTTGGCCTGAATCGCCTGCTTGCTAGGGCTGTGGGAACAGAGACCAGACCTATCTTGGGGCATCCCTGCGAGGAGAGCAGGTGGCCGTGGTTTAGCCATCGTTGCTAGATCCTTAGTCAAATGAATGCGGACATAATCGTCTTTGCCCTCCTGCCCGTTCCTGTGCAGTGGGGCCTCAGTTGCTGCTGTTCTGGGACCGGGGCTGGTGGGAAATGGGGAGATGAGCCCCTGGGACCTCTGGCATGTCCTAAAGGGACAGGAGTCAGGGCGGCTTCCGCTCCTCATCCTGTTTGCCAGGCAATTGCAGAGCTATCCCCAGGGGGGCGGGGGAGGTGTCGGTGACTGGGGGAAGGCTTTTGAAGGGAGCTGCTGAGGTCTCGGGCTGAGCCTGCTCCCTTGGGGTATAATTCCCATCCCATACACTTCCCCGCTCCAAGCATGCATTCCAGGGCTTTTAGTAAGTTCGCAGAGTTGCGCAACCCTAACCACCCCACCACCGTCTCATTCCAGGACATTGTCATCACCCTAAAAACCTCTTCCCCTTTGGATGTCACCCCTGTCCCCCATCCCTGGACATCAATAATATCTCTGTCTCTATCTCCTTCTGGCTGGCTGAGTCACCCCCAAGGACCTCCAGGGGCTGGCCTTTGAGCCCTCCGTCCCCTGGCCCTGGGGATCCCGGGGTCAGGGAAAGTTCAAGTGCTGAGCCACGCCCTGGCTTCAGCTCAGCCACAACTTGGGAAGTCCCCGGCCCTAGAGGCCCTAGAGGAGGACGCCCGGGGGCGCATGGGGTGCTGCTGTGGCCTCAGACTGGCTTGTCGTCCCTCTTCCCCGGTCTTGTGGCCCCAGGTCCGAGTTGATGGCTCCCAGGACGCCCACCTGTATGAGACCGTGCCCGTGGTGGACGGCAGCCCCATACTACGAGACCTGCTCTTCAGCCCCGACCACCAGCACATCTACCTCCTGAGTGAGAAGCAGGTGGGCCCCGAGGCGGTGGCGGCGGGTGGCTGTGGGGGGGCGGGGCGGGTGCTGACAAGGTTGTCCCCAGGTGAGCCAGCTCCCTGTGGAGACGTGTGAGCAGTACTCGAGCTGCGCGGCCTGCCTGGGCTCCAGGGACCCGCACTGTGGCTGGTGTGTGCTGCAGCACAGGTGAGGGAGGCGGCGTGGGGCTGGGTGGTGACGATGGCTCAGGGAGGCTCTGCTCCTGGGAGAAGCCACCAGGCATGTTGGTTGGGGAGGGTGGTACCTGCCCTTGCCCACATGTTCACATCTCCCAGCCAGGCCCTTGTGGCCTCCCCCTCCCTCCCCTTCCACTTTCTCCAGCTAATGAGCAGAATCTCCACCCCAAGTGACGTCACTAGGACCCCATGGGCCAAGGCGCTGTGGGCTGGGGCCGGCTGTCCCCTTTTCCCCCAGGCTCCCCGTGAGCCTTGGACAGAGCCCTCCCAGGGCAGATGCGGGATGGGCTGTGGCTGACCCCACACAGATGCTGTCGAGAAGGGGCCTGTCCGGGCGCCTCAGCCCCGTATGGCTTTGCGGAAGAGCTGAGCAAGTGTGTCCAGGTGCGGGTCCGGCCCAACAACGTGTCAGTGACATCGCCCGGGGTGCAGGTAAGTGGAGTGGCGAGTGAGTGGGGTGAGGTGTGGGGGCCAATGCAGGTGCGTGTTGAGGGGTGCACCCTGCTGAGCCCCCTGCCTTCCGCAGCTGACCGTGGCCATGCGCAATGTGCCAGACCTCAGCGCAGGCGTGAGCTGTGCCTTCGAGGAGGTGGCGGAGAACGAGGCCGTCCTGCTGCCCTCCGGGGAGTTGCGCTGCCCCTCGCCCTCTCTCCAGGAGCTCCGGGCTCTCACCAGGGGACATGGTCAGTGGCTGGGCTGCTCGGGAGGGGCCACTGTCTGTCCCCAGCTGGCTCACGGCCATCCTTGGGCTTGCTGCAGGGGCCACGCGCACTGTGCGGCTGCAGCTGCTCTCCAAGGAGACAGGTGTGCGGTTCGCCGGGACCGACTTTGTCTTTTACAACTGCAGCTTCCATCAGTCGTGAGTACTGGCCTTGCTGACCTCTGCCCCCACGTCACTTCATCCCTTGCTGCGTTGTGCAAGCCTCAGATGTGCCCTGGCGCCTTCTTCCTTCGGTTCCCCCTATGTCCCCTAGGAGGGGTGGCGAGGGGGCAGCCTGGCCTTCTCTGTTGTTTCTGATGCCTCCCCCGCCCCCACCAGGTGCATGTCCTGCGTTGGCAGCCCTTACCCCTGCCACTGGTGTAAGTACCGCCACGTGTGTACCAGCCACCCCCACGAGTGCTCCTTCCAGGAGGGCAGGGTCCACAGCCCCGAGGTGAGGCGGGTGCCGCGCGCGAGGGGGCTGGGCTCCGTGTGGGCTGGCCTCTGGCTTCTCTGCCTTTGATTCTCGGTTCCTTGGAGCCTCCTCAATGCGGGGCTGGCGCCCTGCTGGGCCAGGATGGCAGCAGTTGGTGTGTGGCTGATGGGCGTTCTCCATCCTCCCCAAGGGCTGCCCTGAGATCCTGCCCAGCGGGGACCTCCTGATCCCAGTGGGTGTCATGCAACCCCTTACCCTGCGGGCCAAGAACCTGCCGCAGCCGCAGTCAGGCCAGAAGAACTACGAGTGCGTGGTCCGGGTCCAGGGGCGGCAGCAGCGTGTGCCCGCTGTGCGCTTCAACAGCAGCAGCGTGCAGTGCCAGAACGCCTCGGTGAGGCCCCGTGCCCCGCCTCCCCCCCCCCGCCTGTACCCCACCCCCCCCACCTGTGTCCCACTCTCCCAGCCTGTACACCTCCTCTCCCTGGCCTGTGCCCAGCTCACTGACTGGCCTGGGAGCCTCAAGTAGCTGTGGCAGGGCACCTTCTGAGGGGTCGTGTGGTCCCTCTCCCCCAGTACTCCTATGAAGGTGACGAGTATGGTGACACTGAGCTGGACTTCTCTGTGGTCTGGGATGGAGATTTCCCTATCGACAAGCCTGCCACCTTCCGAGGTGAGGGGCAAGATGGGGCGTAGGTTCCCGACCAACATGGCTCACTGGTTGAGCGTCAGCCTATGAACCAGGAGGTCATGGTTCAATTCCCGGTCAAAGGCAGATGCCCAGGTTGCGGGCTCTGTCCCCAGTGGGGGGCGTGCAGGAGGCAGCCAATCAATGATTCTCTCTCATCATTGATATTTCTCTCTCTCCCTCTCCCTTCCTCTCTGAAATCAATAAAAATGTATTAAAAAAAGATGGGGTGGAGGAGCTTGCCTCCTAGGGCAGAGTTGGCACGAACTGGGGCCAGGTCTAACAGGGGGACCCTGAGTGGCCCTGGCTCCCCATAGCCGCCCCCAGCAGTGCCCCCTGTGCCCGCAGCTATCCTGTATAAATGCTGGGCACAGCGACCCAGCTGCGGCCTCTGCCTCAAGGCCGACCCCCGCTTCAACTGTGGCTGGTGCATCTCGGAGCACAGGTGCCAGTTGCGTGCCCACTGTCTGGCCCCCAAGACCAACTGGATGCACCCGAGCCAGAAGGGCACCCGCTGTAGCCACCCCCGCATCACCCAGGTGAGCCTCCCACACCTTCCGCATACGAGACACCCAGCGGTCTGGCTCACCCTCTCACCTCCTGTCCTGCTCTGCAGATTCACCCACTCATGGGGCCCAAGGAGGGAGGCACCCGAGTCACCATCGAGGGTGAGAACCTAGGCCTCACCTACCGAGAGGTAGGCCTTCGGGTGGCCGGCGTGCGTTGCAATTCCATTCCCGCTGAGTACATCAGCGCCGAGAGGTGAGTGTGGCTGGGCGGGCACCCAGGCTGCTGCTCCGAGGCTGGCCCTGACCTTCTCTGTCCCCTAGGATCGTGTGTGAGATGGAGGAGTCGCTGGTGCCCAGCCCACCGCCGGGGCCCGTGGAGCTGTGTGTAGGCGACTGTTCTGCCGACTTCCGCACGCAATCAGAGCAGCTCTACAGCTTTGTGGTGTGTGAGCCGCCCGGCCCTTCCCACACCCACCCCCTGTGAGGGCGCGAGACCCGCACTGGGCTGCCTCCTCCCTCCCCTCAGGGCTGCTTCTCCCACAGACCCCGACATTCAACCGTGTGCGTCCCAGTCGGGGCCCAGCTTCTGGGGGCACGAGGCTCACCATCTCTGGAAGTTCTCTTGATGCCGGCAGCACGGTCACAGTGATCGTGAGAGATGGCGAGTGCCAGTTTGTGAGGTGGGTAGGGCCCTGCCAGTCTTGGGATGGGCATTTGGTTGCCCGGTGAGGGCCCTGGGCCACCTACTCAAAGCTCTCCACTTGCCATGTAGGAGGGATGCCGAAGCAATCGTGTGTATCTCGCCCGTTTCCACCCTGGGCCCCAGCCAGGCCCCCATCACCCTGGCCATTGACCGTGCTAACATCTCCAGCCCCGGAGTTCTCTACACCTACACCCAGGACCCTACTGTCACTCGCCTTGAGCCCACCTGGAGTATAATCAAGTAAGACTCTAGAGAAGAGAGAATGGGTCCCCAAGCTCCTGTCCTGGGGCCTTGCCTGATGGCTGGGCCCTTGGCATCAAATTATACCTCCTCTAAGCCTGAGCCCTTAGCCAGGCCGGCGTGGCTCAGTGGTTGAGCATCGACCTATGAACCAGGAGGTCATGGTTTGATTCCCGGTCAGGGCACATGTCTGGATTGTGGGCTCGGTCCCCAAGTAAGGGACACACAGGAGGCAGCCAATCAATGATCCTCTCTCTCATCATTGATGTTTCTATCTCTTTCTCCCTCTCCCTCCCTCTCCGAAATAAATAATAAAAATATATTAAACCTGGGCCCTTATGGGCAGAGGGGGCAGGGTCCTCCTGACACAGAGCACCTGGCACCCGCCCAGCGACCTGAGTTGTAGGAGGCCCTAGGCTCCCACTGCAGCCTTCATAGCTCTCCAGGGATGGGCTGGGGACATTGGGGGACAGAGTCTGAGGCCCCTCCTCCCTGTCCCCAGCGGAAGCACTGCCATCACTGTCAGTGGGACCCACCTGCTGACAGTCCAAGAGCCCCGGGTCCGGGCCAAGTACCGAGGCATCGAGACCACCAATGTGAGTGCCAGCTGCCCTCGCCCCGCCCCTGCCCCGGCCATGCATGGTCTCATGTGCTGGACTGCCCGCCTTTGTCCACACAGACGTGCCAGGTTATCAACGACACTGCCATGCTGTGTAAGGCCCCTGGCATCTTCCCGGGGCGGCCCCAGCCACGGGCCCAAGGCGAGCACCCTGATGAGTTTGGTTTCCTGCTGGACCATGTGCAGACAGCCCGCTCCCTCAACCGGTCCTCCTTCACCTACTACCCTGACCCCAGCTTTGAGCCACTTGGGCCCTCCGGCGTCCTGGATGTCAAACCTGGCTCCCACGTGGTGTTGAAGGTGCTGGTGGGGCACAGGGGCTGGGAGGGGCGGCGGGGGGAGCCCTGGCTGACCGTGCCCTCCACGCACAGGGCAAGAATCTGATCCCCGCAGCAGCGGGCAGCTCCCGCCTCAACTACACCGTGCTGATTGGGGGCCAGCCATGTGCACTCACCGTCTCGGACACGCAACTCCTGTGTGACTCACCCAGCCAGACGGGCCGGCAGCCTGTCATGGTGGGTAGGGGGTGGGAAGGCCACCAGGAGCCGGTGGGGCGGGTGTGGGGGTCAGCTCATGGTGAGCCTCTCCCGCAGGTGCTGGTGGGCGGCCTGGAGTTCTGGCTGGGCACCCTGCACATCACGGCCGAGCGGGCGCTGACCCTGCCGGCCATGGTGGGGCTGGCGGCCGGGGGCGGGCTCTTGCTGCTGGCCATCACCGCTGTGCTGGTCGCCTACAAGCGCAAGACTCAGGATGCAGACCGCACGCTCAAGCGGCTCCAGCTCCAGATGGACAACTTGGAGTCCCGCGTGGCTCTGGAATGCAAGGAAGGTGCCTGGAGGGGGGGTGCAGTGCGGGGTGGGGGTGCGGGGCGCCGGCCTCCTCTTGCTCTGCTCACTCTTCCTCCCTGCCCCTCCCAGCCTTTGCTGAGCTGCAGACAGACATCAACGAGCTGACGAACCACATGGACGTGGTGCAGATCCCGTTCCTGGACTACCGGACCTATGCCGTGCGCGTGCTCTTCCCAGGCATCGAGGCCCACCCGGTGCTCAAGGAGCTGGATGTGAGCCCCTACCTGGCCTGCCTGCGCCCTGCCATCCCCAGGGCCACTGCGCCACCATCTGACCCCCCCTGTCCCTCACAGACGCCCCCTAATGTCGAGAAGGCTCTGCGCCTGTTCGGGCAGCTGCTGCACAGCCGCGCCTTCGTGCTCACCTTCATTCACACGTTGGAGGCCCAGAGTAGCTTCTCCATGCGGGACCGCGGCACCGTGGCTTCGCTCACCATGGTGGCCCTCCAGAGCCGCCTCGATTACGCCACGGGGCTGCTCAAGCAACTGCTGGCAGACCTCATCGAGAAAAACCTTGAGAGCAAGAACCATCCAAAGCTGTTGCTGCGCAGGTACGTCCCAACCCCAGCCCTACCCTCCGCCAGCCTGGCCCCTGAACCGCCCCCTCCCCTGCCCGGCTAGGGCCCCAGTAACCTTTGCGCCCTAGGACGGAGTCAGTGGCTGAGAAGATGCTTACCAACTGGTTCACGTTCCTGCTGCATAAGTTTCTGAAGGTGCACTGGGCGGGAGGGCTGCGGGCCGGGGAGGTGGGGAGGCAGCTGGCCATGGGACGGGCATCCATGTGCCCGCCTCTCGCTGCAGGAGTGCGCGGGGGAGCCGCTCTTCCTGCTCTACTGCGCCATCAAGCAGCAGATGGAGAAGGGCCCCATCGACGCCATCACGGGCGAGGCTCGCTACTCCCTGAGTGAGGATAAACTCATTCGGCAGCAGATTGACTACAAAACGCTGGTGAATGGGGGGCCTGGCGGGGCGGGGGCTCTGGGTTTGGGGGGGGAGGCCTCGCCCGGGACCCACCCTGCGCTTCTCCTCGGCCCGCAGACCCTGTACTGCGTGTGCCCGGAGGAGTGAGGCAGCGCTCTAGGTCCCCGTGAAGGTTCTTCAACTGTGACAGCATCCACCCAGGCCAAAGACAGCTGCTGGGATGCGTGGTAACAAGGCATCCTCTACTCCAGCGTCCAGCCGAGGACATGGACCTGGGTGAG